TATTATTTTATTATATATTATAATTTATAAAATTTAATGTTTTAAAATATAATAAATTTTTTATATATAATTATTTTATATTATTTTATATTTCAAACAATAACGATTCGAACACGAACGAACGCATCACTGTTCGTGTTTGGTTCGTTTAACTAACCGAACGAAAAAAATTTGTTCGCGTTTGTCTCGTTTACTTATCGAACGAATCAAACACGAACTCATTGACGAACCGAACACGAACTGTTCGCGAACAACGAGCTTTTTTGACAGCCTTACCCATGCCTTTGCCACGGGCTGCTTGCATGCAATTGCCGGCCTTGCTTGCACTCACAATGCCTCCCTTGAGTCTCTCACCGCCGCTCGCTTTCATCTTGTTCGCATGTTCCTTTCTAATTTCTTACCCGTGAGCTCCCTAGTCAGGGTTTAATAGTGACCCGAGGACAGTTGGAAGAAAGGTCAAATTGCTCTAATTCTGGAATTTAGGGTTGAATACAGGATATTACATTATGATATTTTAATCAACAGCTGACCTGACTAACTTATAATTGTCAATATCAGGTTCTTTCAATTGACTGTGCTTAAAGTTCGAGAATTGTGTGAATGCTTGTTTTACCAATGCTTTGTTTATTTTTGTTTTTTTAATTTATTCTCAATTTATTCAAAAATGTAATCAAGTGTAACCAATATGTTGATTTAATTGGAAATACTTTGGATTTCCGAAATGAATGTTAGCTGAATTGAGGGAGCTCGAACAATATGGGCATTCTTCTTGCTTGCAGGCAAAGGGCCAACGTCATTATTCTTTACAACAACAACAACAACAAAGCCTTAATCCCACAACGTGGTCGGCTATATGAATCATTTTTCTCTATTGTGTCATTGTTCTTTATGAGTTTAAAAATGATTTTTGAGCGACACATGAGAATTTATATTGGAAACAGTTTTGGAGCCTTTAAAACTGTGGAACTGCTGAAATTTGTACTTCATTGAATGCATTTCTATCTTTTTTAACTTGTTTGGTAATCTACTCTGCTTTCATTCCATCAGGGGGAAAAAAATAAACTTGCTGCCAAACATACAAATTACATTTTGTTTTTTCGGCATTGTTCGGATGTCTTGTCTTTATGTAATAGGTGGAATGAGTTTTCTTTTCTAATTACTGAGATTTATGGCCCTTTTTTTTCAGCGTTTCTATCAGTCCCTTGATTTAAGATGGAAGCATCCAGATGCTCAGCTCCCCGAACTTGACGCAACCCTCATGAGGATGACTGGACCTGATCCTAATACTCTTTCTGCGCTGACGTCTGAAGTTGATAGTTTCAGAAAGCAAATTGAGCTGAAGGATAATCCAAAGGTTGAATTTTTTAAAATTACATCTTTAACGCTCAAAGAATTAATTTGTTCAAGGCACATAAAATTTGAAGGGACCTTTTTTCTTGCAGAAAGGGCGGCCTAAGAAACTTGCATTGCTAGAAAAACCATCAGGCTCTAATGAGGAAACTGCTGCTGTTGTTAAAGCAATTGATTATCAAAGTGCCGCTCCTTCTGCAGTCAAGGTTGAAAAAATTGGGCATTCTAATCCGCTTCAAGATTTTGAAGCAATGATGGCACGCAGAGATGGATCAAAGTGGGTCGAAAAAGCAATTAAAGAAATGCAATGCCATATTTATGGCCTGTTGGAAAATTCTTTTTTAGGAGATAACTTCCTTAATGCAGCTGAATGTTTGATGGCTCTTCGCAGCAGTTGCATTCTGGAGCAGGTAACCAATTTTGATTTTTTTCTTATAGATTATGCTAAGCAAACGGTCTGGTTAGATAGTGATTGGAAATAGAAGAAGATCAAACAAATGATTCTTAATTTTTTTTTGGTTTTGCAATTTTGGTCTGCATAGCGGGAATAGTGCCCAAATCTGAAATAACAAGATCTGCTGCATCATTAGAACATTCTCAGACATCATGTGCTGAAGTTCAATAAGCACCCCGATTCAAATGGAATATAACGACATTTCCATTTGGAGAATCTTATTTTAGTTTTTTCTTATGAAGATCTGCTTTGTATCATTTTCAGGAATATACCAGTTTATATTGTTTTAAATGCGCATGTTTTCAATAAAGCCATCATTTATAAGGCACGTGCTTCTAGCAACTAATATCTGTAATTTTTTTTGTACAGGAACCAAAGAAATTCAATGAATTCCTGCATTATCTATATGAAAATAAGAAGAAGTTGGATCTCCATGAGTTCTTTGAGCTACTTTCATAAAAAAATATCACTTATATCACTAAAACTGAAGCCGCAGACAGGTATGCTATGAGCCCAATTGATTTTTTGGTACAAGAAAATTACTTTTTCGCTCAATATTCCTTAAAAAAATGCCATTTGTTTTTGCAAAATGGGGTTTATGGGTCTTGAATCAATCTAATGCTTATTTTCTACTTTTTATTAAAAATCAGCAAAATAGGTTATGATTGTTCTGTCTGTCTTGTGCTTAAACAGTGATGTGAATATGGAGGAGGCCAAAATTTTGCCCATAAAGAATGAGATAATTTCCCAGGACTAAGTCTTATGTGTTGGCTACTTATCACTTGGGGTTACTGCTATATTATTGGAAGGGACTACACTGGGGATTCTTGTAATTAGGCGGTCCTGCAGTTGACAAATTTTGAGTTTTGATATGTGAATTTTATTCTGTTCATGGCATATTAACCATTCGCTTAGCTTTGTTCCGTTTCAATGAAATTAGAAAGCTCCTCTTCTTAAATACTAAGAAGATTTGCATACATACCGCTCAATTTCTATGGATTTACTTGTCTAATCACCTAAACTTGCAGTTTTTACATATTTAACACGAAAATTTTATTTCTTTGTTGATTTTGCTGCTTGAATGTTTTCCAGCCGAGCTTTTAATTTGTTGTAAACGCAACTTTCTGCTTACACGGGCTGATGTAATGTAGCCTGTTCCTGAATTTGAGTTTTTTATCAAAATCGGCTTGTGTGGTTTGTTATGTTCAATTTCGAGCTGGATCTGACTCGAAATAGAAATGAACTGCCTCAAATTTAGTTATTTGGATCCAGTTTTTTATCAAAATCGGCTTGTGTGGTTTGTTATATTCGATTTCAAGCTGGATCTGACTCGTAATCGAAATGAACTGCCTCAAATTTAGTTATTTGGATCTATTTCAGTTCGGAATTGGCTCTATCCGAATCAAAATTGAAACTAACTGGCCCAAATTGAGTAATTTGAATCCGTTTCAGCTTGAAATTAGCTATGGGTCCTTATATTTAATATTACTTAGCATCATATATATAATTTTTATAAATATAAAATACTATGAGCTGATCTCGAGTCAGTTGATTTATGCATGACTCCAATTCAGCTTGAAAAAGTTTAATCTAAAGTTTTGACTTGTACTTCATTATGCCGATCATATCATAACTCAAGCCATGCTGAATCAATTTTCAAGCGATTAACGATATTTGAGCTAAATCACATCCCTACTAACAAGTATATGTTTATTTGCCCATTATTTTTTAAACAATAAACATTTAATAATTTTGCCCATTCAAAAAGAGGGTTCTGCCGCTGGTCATCTTATAAATTGTAAGTTTTTTTTTTTTTTAAAATTATTAACTGCCATTTTTATTAAGTCATTTTTTACCTTTCAAATTTTTTGAAGTAAAAAAAAATTATTGTTTTTCAGCTTGAAAAAGTTTAATCTAAAGTTTTGACTTATAGTTCATTATGTAGATCATATCATTTTCAAGCGATTAAAGATATTTGAGCTAATTCACATCCCTACTAACAAGTATATATTTATTTGCCCATTATTTTTTAAACAATATACATTTAATAATTAAAAAGACGGTTCTGCTGCTGGTCATCTTATAAATTGTAAGATTTTTTTTTTAATTATTAACTGCCATTTTGATTAAGTCATTTTTTATCTTTCAAATTTTTTGAAGTCAAAAAATTATTGTTATTGAATTTGTTATTATATATTTTAAAAGTATTTTCTAATACAAGCTAATTTTGTTAATTTATATGTAAATAAGTTAGGTTTATGTCATAAATATATTTATGATCACTTGAATTTATGAGTTGATTGTTATATTGTGCTTTCGGTATTTAAACATGAACAAAAAAAAAAAAAAATCTTGCATTATATTGCACTTTGCACTTTTAAAAAGGTGATGTGAGAAGGAAATAAAATAAATAATTAATAATATGGGCTGTTTATTGGGTCCTGATGGGCTAGATTGAAATTTTTATGACAACAATTGAATCAAAATAATTGGTCATTCTGTTGCCTCAATCATTCTTTTTTAGGTACTGTTTGGGGCGGTTGCAGCTTATTTAAAAGCTGTTGCACAACATGTGTGGTTGGATGCTATTTTTGATAAGCTGATTTTTATTTTTTTTGTAGTTTAAAATAGTTGTGCTGCAGTTATGTTTGATCAAATGATCATTCTGTTCTTGCGTTGTAATGTTGTTTACAATAAAATTGTTCATATTAGCACATTCCATACTTGAAAGTAAATATCCAGTTCGAATATTACAAAGTAAAAATGGACACCTCACTTAACAGTGAGTAGCACGACTATCAAAATAAAAAAAAAAATGCTAAAAAAATAATTAAGAATGTGGTAATATTATTTTTGAAGTGCAACTAGTGTTTGTCACGAGATAAGTCGTTTAATAGGGAAACTCTCCATGCTCAATCATTCTCGACGGTTGAATCCACTAACCCATTTGTCTATCTATAGAAGTCATTTTTCTGTTCTTTTCTTTGGATATCTGTAAAACAGTCTCTCGTAATTATGTAGCTGTCGTAAAGTAAGCAAGGAAACTCTCGTATTTATGGGAGTCCTTTCGATTGTTGGGTCAAATGATTTGATGACTTGTGATGAAAAAACAACCATGCATTCAACCCAACTGAAAAAAAAAAGCTACAAATTGTTTTTGGATATGTGCTGGAATTTCTTTATGGCTCCTATAATAGATTCATTCTGTTATGATATGTAGAGGGTTATTGCTAGCACCTCTTGTGAAGTCCATGATTCTTATGTAGTTCTTCCAAGAGATTGATGCATATAGGTCGTGTCATACAAAACATATTGTTAAATCTTGTTAGGTGGCCCGTAAACAACTTCCCAACACACTTGTCACCAGCATATGAGGATGTCATGCAAGGGGAGCACTTTATGTATGAGTTATATTATTCGTACATCAAACATACGACTACTACAACTCTTCTTTTGTACCATTCATCGGTTGCATCCATTTATTTCAGTATCAGAGTGGCTAACACATAAGCATCAATAAATTAACTATATTCATAAAAGGTTACGAACAAAACATTTAACATGTAAGCATCATTGAATAAACATATAAGCCATGTCCCAAGAAGTTTAAATATTTAAAGCAAAAGGAAAAATAATAAACAAATATAAATGTCTCATGCGATTGTAAATAAAAAAAATCTTTCAAATGTTCATGCGCTAAAAAAAATATCGTAGGTACACCTTATGATCATCGAACATCCCAATGAAAAAATCTCTCCGGGTTGAATCTTTAAACAACTTCATTGAAAACAAATATAACGACAAGTTCTAAAAAAATTTTGTTGTTGCATTCAGAATTTACAAAATTTGTTGGACAGAAGTTGCTTGAGATGTGCGGGTTTCATTGCTGCATGAAGTCACCAGATGTGATATCTAACTTATAAGGAAAGCAACCCCCATTTTTTTTTATTTTCATCCCGCGGACGCTTAGAAAGGTTGTTGACTCAAGTTCATGGAGGTCCGGGTTGGGGCCTTCACTGGAATCACCCGATTGGTCGACTCACAATTTTTTTGGATGATAACAAAACCTTTCTCCTTGGTGGCACATACATTGTTGCTCAATGCCAAGACACCCCCAAACATACATCTAACTTCTCATCCAACTCAGGATCAATTCCACTGCATTTAATTTTTTTCACAGCAGAGACCACCTACAAATTCATATAAAATGCAGTTCAATTTTAAAATAAATTACAAATTGACCAAAATAGGGGACATTTCATAAATACTAACCCTCAAGTCTCTTTGCCCAACAATCCTCGGAAGCATCAATCGTTCGCTTTACCAAATTCCACCCCAACCCAGTTGATTCTCATTTCAATTCCTTCCAGATTTTCCAATCCTTCTTAAGTTGATCCCACTCATTTTTTAATTGTATCTATTGTACTCTCTGTCTACACTTTCATTGAATTTTTTAATAATATTTTGTCACACTTCCTTGTTGAAATATGTTATTGGCATATTTCCCAAATCGACCTCCTTGAAGCGAAGACCACAAAATATTAATTTTGTCTATTTATCCCACATTGCAAATGAACAAGCCTCTTTTGCCTTAACCATTATATTACTAGCATGAGAAAAAGTAATTAACATAAGTAGGAAAGCCACAATAGCCCATATTAAAGAAAACTTGAAATACCATAATAATAACACCAACATCTCCACACACAAGCACATCAAGACACCAACAAAACCACACTAACACATCCACACACCATATCACCACCTCTACACCAAACACTAACAACT